GAGTTCCGATGGGTCTTAGAGAAACTACGCCGAAGAGGTGAGCGAGCTGGAGTCCGGTCCCTCTTCCCAACCAGGATTCAGTGCCTGGTCAAGGTCAAAGTTACTTCCTGACTACCCACGAGAGACTCGCTGACGACGGGACAAGTCTCTCCGCGGGCAGCGTTTCCCCGCCACCCCCCGCTCCCAACCCAAGTTGCAGCCTCGGCGCAGCCCGTCCACTCGGCGCCGAGCCCTGGGGTCCCCAGGATCTCCGGCACCGCCCAGTCCCCGCCGGGTCCCGGGGAGGCCTCCACTCACCAAATGGAGCACCAGACAGGCCACACCGAGAATCCCCGCGGCCAAGAGCCCGTCTCTCCCCGCGTGCATGGCTCGTCCGGCCAGCCTCCACGCCCTGACTGGGCCAGGGTGGGCTGCAAGTTTCAGGGTGCCTGCCTTGACCCAGGTGGTGTAGGCCGGTTCCTGCCTCCGTCCATCCCAGTCGCCTGTATTGTTGGTCGCCCGCCCCTTGCTCCTCCTTTGTTGTACTTCCTCCTTTATTTATTCCTGTCCTGGTCTCACTTCCTCATGCCCTGCCCTAGCTGGTCTTGTCCCACTCCTGCCCTCTCCTTGGTAGCCCCAATTTGGTCGTCCCACACTATATTTCTCTGTCTCTGTCCTCCTTGTTACCGTTCAGATATAAGCCTTGCCCTCGCTGGTCTCCGCCCCATCCCGTCCCACCCTGTCCCACTGCCTCAGGGCCCATTGGTCTCCTCTGTTGGCCCTGCCCCACTCTGCCCTCTCCTGGCTGGCCTGGTCCTGTCCGTCCTGCCCCTTTATCGCTGGCCCTGTTCTACCCATTAATACTCTTGCTCCAGGCTCGGTTTGTTCTTCCATTGACTCTGGACTTCATTTCTTCCCGGTCGCGTCGGGCGCAGCCGCGCTCCGCCCCCGCACCCTGCATCTGCTCCAGACGCCATCCTGCCTCCCCCCGGTCCCCAAAGTCGTTCTGCCGCCTCCCCGTCTGCTCTGTGGAGCTGTCCCTTCACGGTGGCTTGCGTCTTTAAAACCAAGCTTGTGTTGGTTCCTCCTCCTCCTGCAGCACTTCTGCTGGACGTTTGGGACGAGACGGAGGCATGTGTCCGCAAGTGGGGGTAGGGGGAGCTGCGCCCCGCTCGGCCGGCCTCTGCGGTGACTGGAGGACTCTCCCAGAGGACTGGGAGGCTCCCAGGCCCTTCATTCCTTCAGCGCTTTCCAACAGCAGAGCGCGGGGCTCGCCTTTCCTGCGGGTCACTGTCTGCGCACATTAAAAGGAAACATTTTGGACCCCTGCTAGGATGTGCGGGGTTACCTGGTCCCGCCGATCTCGTTCGAGGTCGAGCCACCTTTTCCTGAAGGCTGCCCCCGACGCCCAGCACTCCCTTCCTCCGGAGCTGGGACTTCCAGCCTTGGGTTTCTCCCTTCTCAGTTTCCTCTGTGTTTTCCTCTCTACCTCCATCTCAACTGTGGACTTTCCCTTAGGCTGAGGAGTCCGGTGTGGTGGATCCCCTCACTGTGTGACCTCCCCCAAAACCTCCCGCCCAGGCTGCAGCAGTCATCTGGAACACTCCACCTTAGTGATTAGTCTTCTTGATTGGCTTGCCCTCTCTGCTGCCTGTCTGGCCCCAGACCAAACTACTCTGCTCCCAGAACCAGCTCGTCACGATGGTCTCCCTGTCTGCACAGGAATTGCCTCTGTCCAGTGATGGGAGTCAGGGGAACTCTAAGTTCCACGGGACCTGGAAGCTCTCCCCATGAACAGGACTCCCTCCTGTCCTAGTAAACACTAACATGTCACTTGTGAAACTGAGTGGAAGTGTGCTTTCTTGCTGATGTCATCTCCAACATCAAGTGAGGATCCCAAAACCACTCAAAACACTTGAACCGTAAGAATTCCTTAGTTCTTAAATCAGCCATAACATCTTAAAAGCTATCTCTATCGGTGAAGTTTCTGGGACCAATATCACGTACCATGAAGCATGCTAGCTTAAGACACCCCCTACTATGTGTAGATACTGGGAACGTGAGGCAGGGGCAGCGAACAGCACAAAACGTGAGGAAATCAAGTTTCTGCTCTGCCCCTGGCTGGTAGGAACTCAGACCAACCGGGAAAGTTAGGATAGGGTCAAACTTTTAGACACTGGAGAGCCCCTGAGAGTTTTTGAACCAAGAAGTGATCCTAGCAAACATCTGCTGAGCGCTAAGCCAGGCCCTGTGTTAGTTAAGTGCATTACCTGAAATAATTTTATCTTCTTGCTGTCCCTAGTTTCACAGAGGAGGAAACGGAGGCTCAGAGAAGGTAAACGACTTGTCCAAGGACACACAGTAAGGGGCAGGACTGGGAGTCCAACTAACGCGAAATCCAAATTGCCACTCTCTCCCTTTGGCAGGAGAG